TACCAGTAGCGTAAATTGTACAAGGTCATTTGCATTATACACTGGGTGTAGGGATGAGACCATTTGTATTCATCGACTTGCAGCCTCTCCAATTGCATTCTTAGCAATTCCAATTCGTCAACGTTGAAATTATATCTGAAAGAAGAAAAAGACAATTGAAAGAGCTTTACAAGTAAATGTTTACGTTCACAACGTTAACTGTTTCAATTCGATAAGTAGAAATTCACATTCTATTTGTCTAGAGCATCGTATAAGTAGTACAGTCGGTTTATGATCAGACAGCAAATGTAAGTACTTACTACTGTCGTAAAAGATATTAGTATGAACTTATGGTTCTTATACTAAAGTGAAACATTCTAAGTTATTTATCACAAAACAAGTAAATATATGTATACAGACTGTTCCAACTATCTGTTGGCCAAACCTTGTCTTTTTTTATGAACATAAATTATAACAGACTGTGGTTTTTGTATACATTCATGGGAAATCTGAAAGTGCAAAATTGCACAAAATGTATATAATATGAAATAACGTACTAGGTGAAGCAATTTTTCACCGAGATTCTACTTTTTTATTTACATATATTCTTTTAATTTATGAAATAAACGTAAGCGTGGAATTGTCAATGCGACGACTGATTTTATTATACTGTCTGGTTTTAATTAAAAAATATGAATTTCTGCACTTTTGTATGAGCAATACAGTATATTGCGATAAATTCAGAAAAATATGACTACTTTTGCTCTAAATGTCTCAAATAAGGAAAATTATAATAGATTTATAAAAATTAACGTAAGACAAAATATTCGTTCGATCAAAGTTTTCCAATTCTATCGATCTTTTAATTTTCCCTTTGAAATCTCTGTTGCTAAAAGAGGCTTCTTATTTGTGAATACTCACTGATAATAATCTTCATCGTTCAGGTCAGTGTATAATGGCAAACATTTGCCAAACGCAAGATCTGGAATATTAAAACGGATAATCGAATGTTATTCGTATCAAGAGCCAGTGATTGCAAAACAAATATATTTTATTGTTCAAGCAATAACTACCATTGTAGCACGTTTCCGTTCGGGGATCGCAGAGGCTCTTACTGAACAGGCACCCTGGAACATGAATTTATACGTATCAATAGAAGACTAATGAAGCTTTAATTAACAAGGTTTTTTTTTTTTTTAAATACATGATACCGAGCAAGATTATGATAACACCTCATTAATCATCCTTTTGCAACCAATTCAACTAATATTCTCATTGTCACATTAAATCCAATGAAATGTAAGAAAAGTACAATACTAGCAAATAAATACTAGCAAGATCTGATTACTAAAAATATTAATTTCATCATATATAACAAAAGTTCACGGTATAATGTTGAATATATTAAACTATGTTTTTATGATGTACTATAATCATAATTTTTATATTCGATAGAATCTTTCTTCTTACTTAATATATAATATATAATATATAACAATAATTCTAATATATATTCTATATTCTAATATATATTCTAATATAATATATAAAAATAATAATATATAATATATAACAATATTTTCTTTATTAATTTTATATATTATATAACTGTATTACATATTTTAATATACTAAGTATTACTGCTTTGTTTCACGTAAAATTGACTTCATAATTACGACGAAAAGTTGACTTTAAAGATCAAAAACCGTCATTTTTTATGGCCCATTAACAATTACTAAGAATATTAAATGCGTTGATGGTATAAATAAAATTACGTTATTTTCACTCATAATACATTGACGCAAATGTTTACGTCATAATCATGTGTGCAGCGATTTTCTGCCGCATATTCTATAGCTGAGATCGCAACGTATTCGCTAATTAGAATACCGAGCACAACCCACTTTCATTGCGTGGCTGCACGATCGTTTAATCCTTGATAGGAGTTGAATAATCACACGGAGACTTTGTTAATCTGCCACATTAAACGTTAATATCCATGCATTTACCTTGTTTTATTGATAATTTATACGTGAGTTTATTATTGGAATGCTTTTAAATACTGTAATTAATCGTATATTATTTTTATTGATACGTAATACGATAAAATAACGCACGATCTATTAATTATTTATCTATAATTTAATTGCGTATAATTTATATCGTGTAGTTTGTAATTACATATTATAATATATATTTGTAACGATAAATTGAAGCTATCAGAAGCCAAACTGATCAACTCCACTTTTTATTCATTTTTAATTTCATTGCATAAATACCTGCAGGATTAATGTTCTATCGTCAAGAAACAAATGACTTACTTCCATAAGTTCATGTTTACGGATAATGATGATAGAAGACGACGCACGTAATAGTTAATTTTAAAATAAATTTAAAGAAACAGTGTTTTCTATACCTTTTTGATTCATGGAGTTCACCTAACTTCTGAATAACTCAATTATTAATTAACTATATACAGTTACTTTATTACATAAAAATAATGTACGCTTAATTATAACGTTATGACAAATTACACTAATTATAGATATTAATATACTGTATATTATATTTATTACATAAAATGTGATGGTATAATAAAAGGTAAAACAGTAAAATAAATCTTCAGTATGTATATACCTGCATACCTATTTGTATAGCCGTTTTAAGAAGCTTTTCAACATTGGTCAAATAGGGAAAAGAGTTAAAATTTCCTCCCTTGATAAGATCTCATTACTCCTTAACTTCCCAACAGGCAATATGGAACAGGCGGACGTCGTTTCATTTCCCTTGACCTTCGTTTTAGAATTGAGTTCTTCTGAGAATTGCCTCGCGTTAACTACACCGACGCAACGATTCTACATTTTACATCTCACAAGTAACATTAATACCACAAATTTAATCAGCAAATCATCTCAATCTTTCGTAATTGACACGGTATACGCGGTATACAAATTTTGTTATCCTGAAGTTTATATTCAAACTGAATTAAACCATTTTGTCCAATCATTCTATTAAAAACGATGTAAAACGAAATAACATTTTTATATTATTATATAAATTTTTATATCGTACTTTACGACATTCTGTGTAAGCTGTATAATAACATATTTCTTCATGATACCGAGGTTTCTCAATCTATTAATTTCTGGATTCCGGATCTCTTCAGAGAGATTTAAGAGAATTCCCGCATTAAAAGAGCGTCACGATCGAGAATTAATAGCGAAGAAATCTTCGTCAAACAGAGAAACATTCTCGAGGAACCGTCGTTACTACTTAAAATTACAAAGAGCACTTCCCTTAATTCCTTTCCGAAGAGTTGATAGAAACAACGAGATAAGAGCGAAGAAAAATTTGAAGAAGAATAGCAAGAAAGCAGGTGTAAACAAAGAGTAGCAGGAAAACAGGTACGACGAAGAATAACGATGAAGGGTCGCAGTTGTGAGTGGAAACGGATCTAGGGCAAAGGAGAGGAAGCAAGTTTGCAAAGGCGGTGGTCGCGTGGGATGTACGGTTCGATAATCGTGGATGGCTGGTGGGCGAAAATCGAATATCACCTCCTTCTCTTTTTATTTTTATTTTTTTTTTTTTCATCCCTCCAATCCAGCCCCGGGAAGAAACAACGAATTTTCAAGGTTACGAGTAAATAAGCCCATCTACGGCTTATATTTGATCGGATACTCGTGTGTGAATAACAGACACGACGAGAAGGTATCGGATAGAAAATCGATGGCAAGTGAATTTGACGAACGAGGTGCTACTGCATGGAAAAAGAGACGTCGGAGAAGCTGTTGAGACGAGAAAATCCTATCGGCAGTTCAGTTCCTCTTCTTTCGATCTTAGATCGAGAGGCAATTTTCAGGAGCTAGTGTCGTTTTCTCTTCTTTCTCGTTTTTAAACTTTGTGTTTATCCATTTTTTTATTGCAAAGAGAATTATCCTTACTCTGTTTTTCGGTGGAAGGGAGACTCTCCAGCAAATCTAGCGATGAGAAAGCGATACTTTTATTTAGGAGAGGACAATGCTTCAAATTGATTTCGTTTTTTTTTTTTTTTATTGGATATCTGCAGGATATTATGCCATTTTTTAAAGAGAATTTTTCTGCTCTGGCAATAAAAAAGTAATATCTTTGTTTCTGAAACAAAAACGTTTTTAAATTGATTTCTTTATATTCGTTAGCATTTTTTTTTCTTTGATAACAGAGAGTAATCAATATTATACAAATAAGAGAAAACAGGCAAATCATGAAATCGAATGCCGAAGGGGACGTAAAGAGACTCCAATATTTCATACGGTGTGCAATGAAAATTAGAGGAATTTGCATCGAATACTACGACGGCATATCTTCATTTAGGATAATGTGATGTCAATTACTAGTAGTAAGGATAGAAATAAGACTCAAATGGGATAGTACAAACCAACACTATATCAAAGAAATATTATTACAAATATATCTACTTGTGTACTAATATTATCGCTTTTAAAAAGGGCTTTAAAATAATAAAGCGATATAATTAACATTTTATTTTAAAGTGAATTACAGCCTGTGAAGAAGAAATGTAAAGTTCCAAGGATCATCTTGCGAACATCTCAAAAAAGATGAATGCTAATCGTGTTACTTTAACATTCTTGTTTCAGAAAAAAAAAGGAAAAGTACAGACAAAGTAATTTGCAAATAATATTGAAATTTCCAAACGAAGTTCATAAGTAAATTGAATTTCAGGAGTTTTGCCATGAAAATAGTTAAGCAGATGCGAAAACTTCCACTAGCTTTTCTATAGTAATCGTAACAGCTTGTAACATTTCAATGTTTGCTTATTAATCATATTTGATTTTAAATATTAAAGATCGTAAAAAGAGAATTTGAAAATTCTTCTCGAATTCTTCGTGCATCTTTTTGTGTATTTCAAATTATCCGACGTCGAATTTCGAAGAAATTCAATGATTAATAATTTGAATTTAAAAAATTCACTATTGAAAACAACAAAATATTTGAAATTTGTTCGAACAATTAAACGTTTCAAATAGTTCAAATGTTTAGTAATTATAAAATATTAAATTGTTAACGTTCATATAGTTGGAACTCTGAATAATTACATAATATTATGTGTAAATACATATCCATCATTCAATAATTACATTTTACACACGCGTGCAAGAGCCTTATCCAGAATGTCACGCGTGATTTTAAAACACGTTTTGTGGTAAAATAACGTAGGCATGAAAAGTAAGAAACGAATAAGAAAGAAAACTACAAAAAAGAAAAGGGAGAGAAAGACATATGTTAATTAAAACTATCGCACAAAATATAACTAATATTTCCAGCTGGAACTGTCCATAGCAATCCATATTCTAAAAAATGTTGGCTCTTTCTATGACTTGTGTAATCTTCATTCAATTCCATTTTAGCGAATCTATTTGCAATAAATTAAAGAATACTATATTTTTCTAAACCTTCGTTAATCTTCATTAATAGAAGTTTTCCCGCAGATGACATTGAAATATTATTCTATTCTCATGGTATTCCGAGAAATATCCATCAGAAGAAATGTTTGAATTGAGAAAAAGGAAGGAAGAATATCGGAGAAATGAAATTTTCGCTGAAATATCGATCACGCTGAGGATAAGAGCATGAAATAATAAATACACCGAGTTTTTCTAAACGCGAGGGCCATGAGCTATGAAATCAAGAATTTCATTTATCCCCTTTGCACTTTCAGTATTTCCCTCTGCGCTTTAATATCTAACGCTGCTGTCTTGTCAACGTTTTTATTAATTTTTTTGTAGTATAATAAAAGAAGAAAATCTGACGTGTATTATATTATGTCATAAAAAAGGTGCTAATAGCGAGATATGATTAAATAAAACAGGTATTATATAATAGCAATAAAAGTCATCCTTTGTAAAGCAGTAACCTTCGTACCTTACTATTTATACAATGATATTGGGCATGTATTTTGATTCTCGCTTTTAATATAATGGGAAAAATTGATACGATACAAATTTTTGATTCGATGGCCGAAGATAAAATAAAACGTGTTGATTGAACATGTTGCTTCAAATTTAGTTTTCAGTGAAAATATCTATCTGTAGTCCGTCAGGATACTGGTAGATTTGTGTTTCCTTTTTTAAATATTTATTTGTCAATGAACAGAATGCAAAATTTCATTCCTATTGTTATTTATTTCCTTTATTTATTTATTCGAAACTGGATAAGTCAGGAATATCCTCTTTTGCAGTTAGAGGATAACATAATAATATTCCCTCAACTTTTCGGATATGACATTCATTTTCATTGCAAATATGTTAGAAATATATATATATAACAATTTATATTATACTAAAATTTATGACAAATTGCATAAAATTTAAAATGTCATCTTATTTCATTTTCCTCGTTTATAACAAGTCGTCTTTAATTATTTGCTGCATAAATTCCATGAGAAACTCATTGTTGGCATTATTTTAAAAAAGTTCTACGTAGAAAATATTCATTATAGTTTTATCAGATTTATATGCCGAAGACATTCGTTGTTTTTCATAAATTCTAGACTAAAAATAGTCATCGTCGTTTAACAATATTACATAATATTGTATGATACACTATATTACTTTAATATTATTTTTCAGATAGCCATTGAAACGGAATTAAGAGTTTATTATGAAAGGGAGATTCGTTTATTCCTTATTGCGAAGACATTCAAGGATTTAGAAAGTGATTCTCCAGCTATTCAACCCCCTCTGAAGGAAAACTTTATCTCGATTGCTGGAATAATCTTGAATGTGTAGTACTTACCGACATCACCATCACCTAGAATTACGTGATGGAGAATGAAGAACACCAACAGTACCGAGCCTCCTCGCCACCACTGTTTACGGCCCATAGATCTTCCTACAATTACACATATGCATGTTAGTTTGTTATTCAAGATTGAATAGATAAGTCCATAAGAATATTCTTTTTCTTTCAATTTCAGTCTTATAATATGGCAAGTCCATAAGAATATTCTTTTTCTTTCAATTTCAGTCTTATAATATGGCAAGTCCATAAGAATATTCTTCTTCTTTCAATGTCAGTCTTATAACAATGGCATTATGTTTCTTTTTGCAAATGAACAAATACAAGGATAGCTTGGACGGGAACAAAGATAGTGCGAAGATAGTTGAGAAAGATTGTTTCTTTTTTCAGAAAGTTCATGGTTCATAGTCGATAGCATAGTTATTTTCATTAAGCTAGGCCGAGCTGATGCTCTCCTCGATTAATGAAAAAGCGTAGATCTTCATTTTTAATGAGACGAGGCAGAGAAAAGAAAAAAAGAGCAAACGAGCCAGAGGATATCTGAGAGATTGCATTCTACATATAAAAATAGAGTACAATTACGAGTTTTTCTCTTCTTTAATTATATGTTGGTAATTATGAAGATAATTATTGTTTTCATTGTCCATTCGTTTATACTGTTCAATACTTTTTACTTCGATATTTTCCATATTTTCCTGTACTTTTAATATTTATATTAGTATATAAATTATCTGTAATTATTGTTTTAACAACCTTAATAAATTCAAAAGCAGAACCAAATTTAAAAAAAGAAAGCAATCTTTTCATAGATTTTCCAACTAGTTTTTTCTTAATGTTCTTCCTAATATATATGTGTATATCCTTCAACGTGATAATCAACAATGTTATGAATGACAATTATAAACGACCTTATTGACACGAATATACATGATTTATAAATTATTCTAAAATATAATCAGAAACTGTTCACTTACAAAATTTCAATTTCGCAATGGAAAATAATTTGCGATATGTATTACACCACAGAAAAGTGTACAAGCTGTTTGGACTACGGTACTGGGTACATGGCAACTTGTTAGAGTAATCGAGTTATATCTTAGCTGCTCGAAACTGTTCTCTTGTAAGCGTAGTGAACCTATAGTAAGGTATAACAGCGAGCTTCGTCAAGATCATCCAAAAAGCATAACTACCATATTAATTTAATCAACGTTGAAACAACGAGCCGGTGGATACCGCATAGCTTCATAAAGGGTGCGGTACACCTTTGCATAACGACACGAGAGCTGCGTTTACGCAATCACAGTATGTATATACCCCTATAATCAAACGATATCGGAGCGTGAACAAAACAAGTTACAGCACTGTTATCGGAAAACAGCTTACTGAAGCGCAACAATCCAGAATTTAATCTCGACCAACCGGTCCAATTTTCCGATCGTACCCCCAAGTAATTACTTCTATCTCAATTACCATACCTATGCTTGAATAAAAACAGCTGTTCACTTTGTATCTTTTTAACAATCATTCCTTTCAACAATAATTTTTACCTTCTATCTTGTAAGTTGAAAAATGAACAACTTAATTGCACATCTACTCGATCCTGAATTTGAACAGAGCGTAAATTGGCAATTCCTTTAATTTTCCACGAAAGTGGCAAGATTCCGCGAATCACCGACCACGTCTCTAGTTATATGGCCGAAGCATCAGGTTGTAGTCACGTTCCCTCCCCCTCCGTCTCTCCCTTATTCCTGCGGACCTGTATGTCGCTTTGTAGCGGCAAGAAACGTGTCTCTTTCTCGACTTACCTGGGCGTGACACCTGGTTGCTTCCTCTCCTTAATACATCCTTGCCGTGATCCTTCGACCTTTGTGGTATGTACCGCGTGCGTTAGAAACAAGAGAACTTGATGCTATTTGTTCGTTTAATGGATAAGGATTATCGACTATGGACCATTTCCTACTCGGCGCGTACTGTTATGCCGCAGCAGTGCCACCGACTGAGTAGTCTTCCACGAAGAACGAGCAAGCAGGGCATGCGTTGACCAGGGAATCGATTGCAACGCGCACATGCCGGCTGGCAAACGACCAAAGATGTGGATAGTGATGGGACCAATACCCTCCTGGACCTTGAAAACGACAGTTACACAATGCACTGGATACTTCCTGAAATATAGATTATCGTGTTAACGCGGTGTTTCCAATAGTGTGGAAAAATTGATCTGAATTGGATATTTATTATTAGAAATATATTTGATAATACATACATGATCAAATAATTAGTAATAAATATGATGTAATGATGTATTTTAGATATAGAATGATGCTATGAAAAACACTATATTGTAAAGATACTGTAACTTAATATTTGATAGAAATAAGTAAGATGTATCCATCGACTGTTCCTAAGAATCAATTATTTCAAAAATGAAGAATTTACTACTTTTTTTTTCTTTTTGATGAAATAATGAAAACTGAATATTTTCAAATGTATAAAATTAAGAGAAAAATTTGTTAAATAAAAATCAATTGGCACAAAGGGGACAATAATTTTCTGCACAATTTTCTATTTAAGCATTATAGAAAAATATTATGACCACTTTCATCACATGGTGATGGAATTATAAAAAATTAACACTGTAATAACGATTAATGATAAATTTACCACTAATAACATTAAAGTTGTAATATTATATCGTAAATGCTATTACTCTACATTAACTGGAAATATGTCTATTTGATAAAATGAACATGATCCCAGCAAAAAATAGTTCCACTGATAATCGACCAAATTAGAATTTAACTACCTCATAATTAGACACACAAACACAATTATACAAATTATAAGAACTTTTCTGCAGGAGAGTTATCAAATATTCATCGCATTTGCCATTTTCATTTAAATAGTAAATCTTAAATAAACGTTTACAAAATTAATGTTAAATGTGTGAAAGTAAAATTTATTTTAAAATAAGTGGTGAATATAAGGTCGTTCCCATCGCTAGAAATGGACAAGAAACAAGCAGAGAGGGAAAGAATTAATATCACCTACAATAATAGAGAAACAGTCGGAACCTCTTGTGCAACTTACTATCAACAAGCCTATATTGTTGCATATCCTATCTCGAACAGCTCAAAAACTTTCAGTAAAGTTCCGATTTAAAAAGATTTTTCCCCCCAGATAATGTCGAATTGCGTGGAGTGTTCGTGAATCGACAAACACCTGCGCATTTTCCATTCTATCCCTCTTGTACTTTCCATCTCCTTTACCGTTGAGCACCTGTTGTTCACGAATTGCGTTCCTTCTTTGAAATAATCGAACTTTGCTTTTTGCACATAAATCATTCTATGCTGAAATAGAATAATATTAATTATATGAGGAATAATCGTAATTTAATACGTTTTGGAGATTCAGACTGCTTTATTCCCTATCCAATGTAATATTTGTTATATTACTTTAGTAATAATTATGCACATTTCTAAAATTATTGTATTTCAGAAATTTAAAGATAAAATTAAAGTATTCGTCTTCCTGCAAATAGATAACATTATCGTTAATGTAATTTTTAATATGACAACGATTCTTACTGACGAAAAAGCGCTTTAAAAAATGTTGTATTTCTGTTATCAGTGGCAGCAATGGATTCGTATAATTTCATCAAAGTATCGATTAGGAACACTTGTTGCAATAGAACTGACCCCAGCAGCAATAACTTTCGCTCTGTCCTCTTCTTTTATTGGGAAGACAAAGGCGGAAGCAGAATAGTCTGTGATGTACTAGATAGTCGATTCATCTTAACATTCTAATCTTTTATTTTCTTCCGCTAATCGATGATCAACGTTGATTTACTAAAAAATATATTGAGCATGTTATCTCATTTTTAATATGTGGAATTTATCAAAGTTTATTAATTAACCAATCGTTCTACATTAAGATATCAAATATCTTGCGTATTTTACAAAGCGTATGATCTTTTAAATGATTAAAGAATGTTCATTATTTATGTGTATTAAAATAAATAAAATAATACTGACATAAATAGCCAATTTTATTATGAAATATCGTTATATTAATAAATAATAAATAGAGAAACATAAATTATTATTATCATTTATATTTGTTCTTTTCCTGATTTGACTTTTTCTACCATTAGTTTTATTTTATAATTATTTGGCAATATTTATTACATAAGTATAGTAAAACAATTTTTGAATATATTAAGAAATATAATTATACATACATATAAAATTGAATAAAATTCATTATCCAAATAACAAAATTATTACTTGTCAACCCTAAAATTGTATTTAATGTTATGTTAACGATATTTACTATTAAATTAAAAGCATCATAAAAATGTTAATTATTCTACCTTTTAATATGTATTCATATTTCTATATTAATTAATATATTTCTATTTATTAATTTAAAAAGGTCACATATACAGAACTGAATAAATAAACCAGTACAAAAAATTTAGTCTTTCGATAATGTGAAGAACGATTACCTACAGAAGAGTATCGATTGCATGATAAATCGATTCGTTCAGAGTTCCGAGAAGTCGATTACTGGTGTCGATATAATCTAGTTTAAAATGTAGCACACACGTGTATTTTCTGTATTTTCTATAATTCCCATTTTATAAAAGAGTAAAGTACGAATAATATTAAAACTACGATGGCTAATGAAAGCCTAAACAACAGTGCTCCACAGCTACAAATAAAATTTCTTACGAAGCAGGAACAGTAAGTATTTTTAATTATCTTTTGTAAACTGCATTAGGAGGTTATTTCATTTTGTTACACAGTTATGACATTGTGTTTATGCTTTATATAATTTGCAATAATTTTGTTATTTCAGTAATCATAATATATGTGGTAAATAATTTTTTCAAATTTTAGGTATGCTGTTCCGGATTTCCCATTATCAGTGCACACATCCATTGTAACAAGTGAATTAAATACTCTTATAAATGAACTTCTAAAAGGTAGCATATTTCTAAATTAATAAACTTAAATATGAATTAAGTATATTGAGGAATATTTGTTTATTAACTGGATTTAATTCTAGAGTCAACCGATATAAAAAATGATATAGAATTTGATTTCTTAGTGTGCTCACAATTTTTACGCACTTCATTAAGTGAACATATAGCAGAAAAAAATATTTCTACAGAAGAAGTGATTATTGTTGAATATGTTGAAAAGTATCCACCACCAGAACCTCAGGATTGTCTTTTACATGATGATTGGGTATCTGCTGTTGATGTTTATGAAAAATGGTAACTTCTTTGATATTTATTGTTGTTATTTATTATTAACATTATTATTTTGTATTAAAATATTTATTATACTTTAATAGGATTTTGACTGGTTGTTATGATAACACATTACATATATGGACATCTAAAGGGAAACATCATTTAGTAATTCCTGGACATACTTCACCTATTAAAGCAGTAGCATGGATATCCATGACTAGTGACACGGCCAGTTTTGTTAGGTATGATTTAAAACCGGGAAAAGTTGAATTGAATAATTTTAAATCATTCTTACCATCTATAATTTACAGTGCATCTCAAGATCAAACAGCTATAATATGGGATTGGAACATTATGGAAAACTCTGTAGATTGCATTCATGTATGCAGGGGACATGAACGTGGACTAGAAGCTGTTAGTATTAATTACGATAAGACTATAATGGCAACTGGGGCGTGGGATACAATGCTTAAAATCTGGTCTACAGGTAAGTAGTTTATATAACAAAAAAATGAAGTTCATTAATAAGAAAATGGTTCACTTTCATTTATGTTTGTAGCTAATCAAGATGAAAATGAAGATGGTGAATCCAGCTCAAAAAGATTAAAATCAGAACATGGTAAAACAAGGGTAAATAAAATGAATAAACAGTAAAATATTTGTCAACGAAGAAATAATTTATTATGATATGTACGTTTGCATTATAAAGGTACCTAAAAGAACTATGAAAGGTCACAAAGAAGCCATTAGTGGTGTAGTATGGTCAGATAAAACAGAAATTATAACATCCTCGTGGGATCATACGATGAAAATATGGGATTCAGAATTAGGAGGAATCAAACACGAACTGGCTGGAAATAAAAGTTTCTTTGACCTCGATTATTCCCCATTAACTCGTACTGTTATAACAGCGTCAGCCGATAGGCATATTAGATTATACGATCCAAGATCTACAGGTTTCGACTGACATCGTTTATTTATAAATTTCTAATCATTGTTGCATTGAAAGTTGTATTAAAATAATATTTCTTTTTTAGAGGGAACACTTGTGAAAGCAATATTTACTTCTCACACGCAATGGGTACAATCTGTACGATGGTCGCCAGTGGACGAAACTCTTTTTATTTCAGGAGCATACGATAATGAGATGAAACTCTGGGATACCAGAAGGTACGATAATTTCCAATTTTATTTACAAAGTTGCTTTCCGTGTAAAAAAAAAACTATTTCTCTTCTTATAGTCCTAAAGCGCCATTATTTGACCTTTCTGGCCATGAAGATAAAGTATTATGTTGCAATTGGTCGAATCCCAAATTCATGGTATCCGGAGGTGCGGATAACACCGTAAGGATATTTAAATCGAAACATATTGTTCGTTAATAGCGAAATGTTTTATAACTTTTACATATAATAGAGAAATGAATTGTGCATAGTGCAAATTAATAAGAATAAGATTCTTTTTATCAACTTAATATTTATTATATTCTAAATCAAGCAATATAATCATCTAAAAGAAATAAACACGTATCGCCATCGTGAAACGTACTGAATCACGAAATCATGTACTCAGTGTAAAATAATCAAAAGATATCGGATCAATCTTTTAACTTCAACAACGTAACTTGAAATAAATTAAACGTGAATGCAGATCGAGATGATGTATATAAAATAATTACAAAATATTTTCGTACAAATAAACACATCTAACGAAATCAAAAAGACAAAAAGTACAACCCTAATGGAAAAAGTATTGCATGGCCTAAGAAAAAGCTCTCAGCATCAAATCAAAATTCGTACTCTTTTTATTTCAATGAGTTCTTTTTACGATGTGTTTGCTTTCCTTTTTTTTTTCTTTTTAATTTTACCCTTCTATTTTACATCATTATAAAACCACCATTTAATTGACAAAAGAGGAGATCTAGTAATCGTTCTCATACATTGCCAGCATCTCGATTAAAATCTTTTTATCTTCACCTCTTTTTTTAAAATTTCGAATCTTTATTGCGCACAAATTAAAAGCATTTACTCAAAATAGTACAAATCGCATCAGCGTGTACGGTGTTAAAAGTATTAAGAAAAAGACTCGTTACGTTCTACCGTATTACCAAAAATCGAACATGGCATATTAATTCTCCATAGTCTTGTTACTCCGCAGAAAACAATCCTATCGTCGATTAGTATAAACGCGGACGCTGGATGTATTATTACACAATTAGTTGGGATAATGTGGGGGGCTTATTATTTTAACATTTCTTACAAAGGACAAATGTTCAGTCTGTTGGACATGCTGTACTACTACACATTAGTAAACAGTATAATTTCGTTTAACCGATGTTCGATTGAGAAGAACGTGATATTTCTTGTTTCCTTTTTGGAGTTTCTCCTATTTTCGTTTTCTTTTTTTCTTTTTAATTCGTTAAGCTCACTCTTTTAGTCCTGGAGAATACCAAAAATCTATCTCAGGATATAACATTGAAAAAGGCATATACAATAGTCGCTACTTGATTCAATAGAAGGCATATCTCTCTTTTTTTTAGTGTTGGAATACGTGTAAATACAGTCACTGATTTTGTACGAGAGTAAGTTTATTTTACAGACTTTACATTTCGTTTGTTCGTTTCTCGCAGAAATTGTTCTTTCACTCTTTGACACAACAAAGGAAAAGAAAAAACGAAAATGAATCTGTATTTATTTTTTTTTTTTATGAAATTCAACGAAATCTAATGCAGACAAAAGAGAAGTACAATTTAAAAAAATGACATCTGAGAAGAAACAATGATATAATTATAATTTGGGGATTCACTCTCTCGCTCTCTTCTCTCTGTGTTGAAGACTATTTTCACAATTGGCCTGCCATTAGAGAAAACTTAGGAAAGGAAAAGAAAATGATTCGAATAAATCCCCAAAACAGATCGTTTATTGATCAAAAATAAGGGATGATAGTAATTAAGAATTTGATTCTTTCACTTTGAATACCAAACCATGCTTGTAAGTAACTCTAAAAACTGTTTGGTGCACGCTCCACATACAAAGTGTAAGAAGTGTGTGACGTTTAGAGCGTGCACACGCAGTGTGCAGTTTACAGTAACAGTGTGTCTCTGCAGTCTGTGTCGTGTCATAGGCAGATGGTTGTTCTTTTTATTTAAAGTACGCATTATAAATTATGCATACAACCTACACACCACACATTCGTCTCGCACTTTCTCTCTCTCTCGCTCTCGCGCATCTCATATGTGTTTCTTTTTTATCTTTTGTATTTACTACTTATATCTCACGTTCTCTCTCGCGCTCTCTCTCTCTCTCTCTCTCTTTTTGTTTTCTGTTTGCGTTTTTTGTTTTTCTCTTCTTTTTTTCGTTTTTTTTCTTTTTTAGAAGACCCTATCTATAACCCCCACATTATCTCACACAAAGACTAGCGTTTTTAAACGATCCAAAATAAACTAAGGGCACTTTTAGTGGCGTATGCCCTGTGTTCTTATTCAAGTTCCATGAAAAATCTAATTCTGACCGTTGTTAAACTTTGTTGTTGTTGTTCTTGTTACTTCATTTTTTTTTTTCATTTTATTACAGCACCTATCGACTTCTAAGAGCCCCTATTTCTTAACTAGCTATGACACACTTGCCTTAATCTAAGAATTTCATTACGTGCTATGCCTCGCCATCTTAAAAGTATCCGAGAACCTAATGTGTGTGTTCATTTTTTACTTTTTTTTTTTATATTTTTTTCCCTCCCGATTACTTAATCCTCGTTTACGCATGCGAACTTAATGCCTCAACATCATATTTTGTTTCTTTCCTTTCTCTCGCTCTCTGTCCCTTTCACTCCCTCTTTCTCTCATCTTGAAATTTACGAAATTTTTAATTCTCATGTATATTCTCATTGGTCGCACACCACATAACAATTAATTATATAGTGGAGAGAAGAAACAAACAAAATGAATCGAATATAGTAATGGCATTTTTTTTTTTTTTTTGTATAATTACAAGTGTCGTTCTTTCGTTTTGACGCTTATGAATAGAAGATTTGTATATGTCGAAAAATACAACGGATGTTGGATTAAACAAGGAGCACGGGAAAGTTATGGAAAAGAAATTAGAAGAGATACAGGAGGGGTCGAAGTAAAAAAAAAGCAGAACAATGGGGCAAATGGAAAAATGTTCGTCTCTCTCTCGTTATAGCTAAAAACCTATCTCCTTAACAATAGTAAAACAATGACTTAAAACCTCGGTGAAATCTAAGGACTGTACAAGTCGAAGTACGATGACGCGCGTTACATTATCGGGCATCATCAAAGTCTCAACTCGGACTCGCATCTTTCTTATTATTTCTTTTTATCGCTTAAGCCGACGTTCGACTAACATTATATTACTTATTTTTTTTTGTTTCGTTACTTAAAAACACCCTACGTTTTTTTCCTTTTTATCCTCATCTTTCTACATCAGCCTACGACTACTAGTTGTGAATCTAATCTAAAAAGAGGCTACGCTAGAAATTCTAAAGAAAGCTTACGGAAAGCAGCATTGCTTGGAAACATTACGTTCCAAAAAAGAGATTGGTTTTTTTCTTCTTTTTCGTAAACCACGCCCGGCCAGCCCAAGCACCTGACCCGCGGTGCGCAGCAAGCAGTTCTTACTATTTATATTACAGTAGATAATATGTTGTAGAATAATATATATTTATTATTAATATGAATAGCCAGTCAGTCTTGACGGGTGCGAGGTGCATAGGCTGAACGGTGCCTCGCCTGATGTGTGTTTTCCTTTCTTTTTTTTTTGCGTTTTTTTAACGAGGAGAGGCAGTTGTATATGTATCCTAACTATCACCTAACTAACTACCTAAACTTAATCACTTAATTGATTACTTCCTATCCAAAAATGGTACCTATCCTATATATTTATAATCAACACTAACTACACAACATCTCTTTCTTCCCAGGTTCTATACAATAGATTACGACGCATTCGCTCTTGTTTTCTCTCATGTTCATTCTTACTTTCTCTCTTGTATATTTCACATTCTAGCATCTATCTTCCCCCCCCCCCTCCACCTCGCTCATTTTATCATTTAACTTCCTTCTACCCCCCTGCTTTCTACACACATTTTCTTCTAAATTTCTAGCTCACGCACTTTCATTCGCCTTCTATGATTCTCCGCGTCTCTTTCGCTCATTGTCCCTTGCATCCATTGATCTTCCTCACTCTCTTTCTCTCCTCTCTGCCCGCTCTCCAGTGCGGCTCCGTATCTGCGGGAGCTGGCATTTATGTCGGCCGAACCATCGTTCTTCCGCTCTCGGTCAGCACTATAAAAATGCTGCTCTTTTTTTTTGTTTTGGTCGTCACAATAATAATTAGTTATTTAGTACAAGTCTATTAGTAAAATTCTTCAAAATTCACTATTTAATCACATGTGATTTTTGTTGTCAGTCATGGTGACAATCGCTTGTGCAAACAATTTACACACTCGCAAATAGGTTCGCCTCTTTCTTTCTTTCTTTCTTTCTTTCTTTCTCTCGCTCTCTTATTCTTTTTTGTTTGTCTCCCTTAATGCATGGACTCAAATCGAGTAATAATCGGTCTCTTAAAAAATAGTTCATACCACTTTTTTCATCTTTTATCTCTTGTCATCAAATCGTGATGTACCAAAATAAACTAAATATATTATTTACTTCAAGTCTCAACAGTGTAAAAATCTTTCATACTTTAGATGACGTCAATAATAGTAATCATTAATTATAATAATACAGCATATTATTGTAATATTATAATAATAGCTACGATCGCCTCTAACTCTATCTAACTACCTGCCTGCCACTTCGAGCCCGGAGCTCGTAATATTTGGTAGAAAGCTTTCTGCTAATCGTTCCTCGACTCGACCTAAGTCAGACAACGTGAAAACTGTGCCAGATGTAAAAACGGGCTTAGAGGAACGCAGGAGAGGAGGGTGTTTTTTCTTTTTTTTATCATTAAACCTTTTGCTTCTCCGTTTTCTCTCACTCTCACTCTCTCTCTCTCTCTCTCTCTCTCTCTCTCTCTCTCGATACCACGTAGATAGAAAATTTTCAACTTATATTCTGTATTTTACGTTTCTTTTTGTTTCCTCGCGTTCGATCCTCTCGCCTATCGTTCTACTCCAGTCCCATTATCTTTTTCGTTTTCATTTGCAACGCGATTTTATTCGTTTGTTCGATATAATAAATTAATTTACACTCTATCTATCGTATTCCGTTGTAACAAGCCTATTCTGTCTCTCTCTCATTTTCTTTTGGGGCGGTATGGATTAGTCTCAGTTAACAATGATCCGCCATTTGATTTCATATCATTTTTTTTTGTTCCTAGACTCCGTACGAACCGTACAGATGTTTTCGGTCCGTCAATCCCGTTAGTGGCAACTATACACATACAAAATCTATTCGAATTCATAACCAAAAAACAAACGTAGTGATATTTAACTGGCTACAACGCAAAAACAATTATATTCTCTTAACTAGAAGATCAAAATTTGGCTCAAGTTTCGCATTTACATACCGACGTAAAAATATATTATAATATTTTTCAGCATATCCCAGTCTAGCGGATTTGTCTGAAAAGGCACAATTCTAAAAAAAATATCTGTATTCACTGTACAATTAAAACTGATATCAATTCGTAGTAACTGTACTCATAAATATAAATCTTCTAAAAAGTACTATGTTCCTTTCCTTCTTGTTACAATAATTACATATATCCTGAAGTTTTTTTTTCCTTTAGAAATAAAGCTTCATCTTTCTCTCTCTCTCTCTCTCTCTCTCTCTCGCTCGCTCGCTCTCTCTCTCTCTCTCTTAAAATCTTCACTTCTTTTTCGTCCATAAAATATATTCGTCCGTGATTAAAAAGAGAACGCGAACTGTACTTGTAAAAGTAGATAAAAATCTCCGCGTGGCAATACATACATACAATATATGTGCCTGGCTTGGAATGTCTGAACGAAACAGAAGAAAACAAAAAGAAATAATATGATGAGAGTGCAGTTAGTGGATGGGGTGGTGTGCGCTGTTAAGGAAGAGCTCTTTTCTTCAGTATCTTCTGTGAAAAAGAAATACTGATCCACAACCCCTTCTCTTCGCAGCCCAGCCACCGGCCAGCCAGCTGGCACGAAAGTCCGGTAGGTACTGATTACAAGTAACCGAATCTGAATGTTTTTTTTAATCAATTCTAGCATTTGGAAGTGCTTTTTTCTGTATATTATTATTATTATTATTTCTTGGGAAGAATTCTCCTTTGTATATTTCTGAGCAGCGTTTCTTTTATAGTTTACAGTTTTTGTTAAAATATTTTATTCACACTCTCAAAGCCTTTAGCTTCGACTTATCGTTTCCTTAGTAAATGTAATACCTAAAGTTAATCCTGGAAGCCTATCAGCTTGACACTAAACTGTCCGTCGCAGAATATCAGTTTTGTCACTGTCGTAATGATGTGTTGGCGTTACAGCGTATGGAGCCGTGCTGGTGCCGAACAATGTAGATGACACGAGCACTCGTACCCCGTTCTTATGACAACATTCATTCTCTAATCGTTGGAAAATATTAACTACTTTCACCTATTTATCTGATGGATAAAATGTATAAAAGATGGCTGGCAAGTCAATTATCATGAGGAAGAATCTTATCTGACTTTATGTATTGTATTTAGCCTTATCTATCCTTCATTAATATAATCCTTCTTATCAACAGGTGTGGCTCTCCTAACTTACATAACTCTCGGTGTAATCGTATCTGAAATGTTAAAAAAACGGAAATCTGGTTCAGCTTTGTTTATAAAATCCTATATATTTATATATATAACAGAAAAATCATTGTGAAATGCTATATATACCTAAAAACCGTAGCCTACTTGGGCTGCTGAGCTTGGTATTGTTGGTAAGAATCATCAGGAGATGCTGCATTACTTGTTTGTTCAGAATCACCCAGTGGCATGGTATGAATAATGCTAGGAGGATAAGTAGTATAAGGATAGGGATGTGGGCTTGCTATGTACTGAAAAATGAAATATTAAAAAAATTAAAATTAACATAAATGTTGAAAAAATGATTGAAAATTTAAGAGAAGGTAAAAAAAAGATTCTATACTTACGGAACCAGTGCCAAGATGTAACGTAGACATTTGTGTAGTTAGTTGAGGAATCATACTGTATTGTGGATTACTAGGATCAGCTGATGGCATCATCTGTAATATGAAATTCATATTAAAATTTTAAATTTAAATACTTTTATTCAGTTCTTTTAACATTTAGTAACAATTTAGTACAAAAATATCCAGATTAATAATTATGCACGAATATATGAAATTTTTCAGTAATGGAAGAATAATATTATTTAAGATAAATGATAAATGATTTTAAAAAAAAAGAGGAAGCAAAACCAACAAAAAGTCTGTACAAAAACTCACGTCGACCTGTTGCATGTGTGGAGGGGCAGTCTGCACCAAGTAAGGAGTCACCCAGGGCGTTCCTGGCACACTGTATCCCGGTAAAGCTTGACCATAATGACGACTATATTGTGTTAAGGTGGCTGCAGGTAGCATGTGAGTAGTTGCAACCCCGTTTTGACCAACACCACTTGTATCGTAATTCAAAGTTATATTCTGTGAAAGTACATACCACAACATTAAAACTGTACATTAAATACTATCTTCACCTTTTTGTAATTGTATAAATTACCTCGCCAGTTTCCCTCCATATTGTACTTTTGTATAATGATTTTTTCTTATTACCACCATCAGCAAATTTTACCAGTAACGGATCTTTAGCACCTTGTAGTGCCTTTCCATTAAACATCTGAATTATTTGTTCACATTTTTCTTTAGATTCCATTCTAAGATATACATAATATAAAATATTAATATTACTAAATGTAACAAAAATTAATGTGATTAATAATTATCTTTTAAATGATAATATTACACTAACCTTGCAAATCCAACACCTTTACTTTGTCCAGCTGTATCACGTAATATTCGTGTTGAAATAACTTGCCCATATTGAGCAAGCAAACCTTCAACATCATTTTCTTTGAAACTCAGGGGCAGGTTTGCAATATATAAATTAGTAGGGTCCTGCTCCTGTTGCTGAGAAGAGAGTAAAAAATACTATGCAACTTATTGTATTACACTCCTGGCTTTTTATATATATTGTAATATATATAAAAATATATTTTATAATATACTTGTATATAAATTTCAAAAAAGCTTCATATCTATCATTTTAACATTCACGACCAAAACACATGTATTTACATATTCCTGTGTAACTATGATTACAAATGAATGCACAGACGAGGTCACTACAATGAGAAATCAATAATCATAATAAATATTATTGGAACATTTTTATATTAGCTCACAAGGTCAATATTATAGATTTCTTATATCCTTGCATTTTTTATGATGATATTCGTTATAAGTATTTATTTAAAATGTCTCATAATACGCTTCTATTGTATATACACATTCACATGGAATGTTAAAATGATAATTCAAAATTAAATCTCATAACAATATATACAATGATGCAAGAAATTCAACAAACTAAAATTGTATACAGTAATCACAAAAATTTCTTACATATAACTTGACAATGTATTTTAATAAAAATAATGAAAAAAAATTGTATAAATCTACAACAAGATACTACTAAAGGAGAGCATTAAACTATAACAATTATTTTAATCTAATATTGAATGTAAGAATGAACAAATACTCAAAAAACGATTTGTTATGAATTAAAATAATCATTATTTTTAATACTGAAAGATTATCATGCTTCATGGCATTACTTTACCATATTGTGGTGGTTCTCCAAATTTGCTTTATGGATGCTTAAAACTAGTATTGACATCAAATATATACTGCATTTATGTACAAAGCATGCTCACACGCATTCGTTTTTTCATAACGAAACTCCTTTTTTCTAAATTGTATATAAAATTTACAATCTATATGTGCCTATTGCATTCAAAATTTAGTAATGCATAATAATGACCTAAAAGTCAAGAAGCAACTAATGAATTCACAAAAAACCACAATAGTGAATCTCGCCTGTGCAAACATTGTTTATTTAATGCAAATAATAAATTGTTACATTCTTCCAGAACGTATTTATCAATTATTATATCCTTTTCTTTTTTCCAATTAAATCATTTGTATTAAATGATATCTCGAACGTGGTTTCTGTTAGATTTACATTGTTTTGTTAACTGTGTAAAATATATATTTGTAACAGTAAGTATCTTTCTTTACAAGTAAACTTTTTTGTAAAGAATATTCATAATTTTTTCTAGTTATATTATCTTTCTACTACTTTTTATAAATTTGTGTTTTAGGAATCACATATTCTTATATGATAAATAACCAGTACCATAAGTAATGCAAGCTAACTAATTGTTTATAATAAACAAGACTGAGGATAACCATTCAAAGCATTAATAAAATTTCAGTCACATATGACACACTGTTGGATACAAGCATAACAAAAAAGCACAGGCATGTTCACATATATACAGTTATATTATAAGATAGAAATGAAAGTGAGTCAAATTATCTTGCAATGTTATTAAAATATATGTTTCCAAAATATATACACATACATATACATGTGTTCATGCTCAAGTTTTTCTTGCTTACGATTCTCATATGTAGAGAACAAAAAGCAAAAAGATATATGTACACTAAACTTAACTCGAATTCGAATTTGATATTTATGCACCCTCAAGCATATTTTGAGATCCACCATTTCTCTCAAAAATCAATCAACTCTACAGTTACTTGAATATACTTATACTTTACGACAATTTACTTCAATCTTGCGAATGCATTAAAACAAAAAAATAAATAATGAAAACATTATGATATAAGCTAAGCTTATGGCATCTATATATGTATATATATATTTCTTTTAAAAAATATAATATACATATACACATATATGTATGCATATAAACACATATACATATATGTATGATAAAACCATAATATAATTTAATGACTTTGTATCTCAATAAATTGATTTAATTGATCAAGTGTGAATGTGTATAAAGGATTTTAAAAATAATTTGTACATATTTCTATACATGATACTTAATCAGTAAATCACTAGAAACTTTAGCAATTCTCTGTAGCTATAGTGTACTAAGTTCTTGCTAAAGACTTTTCAAAATTCCCAAATACACATCCTAAACTTGTTTGGTGTGCCGGTTAAACTTTATTAATCAAGCCAAGTGTCAATCAGAGTCAACCAACACCCCAGGATTAAGATAGCACCTGATCTTCGCATAGCATCACTAACTGGTAAGTAAATACCATGTACCCTGAATACATTTAATAATGGGTACATTGTTTAGTTATATCATATCACATGCGACTGACATCATCACAGCTGCTGATGGCACCCCGTGCTTTTACCGCGGCCAGATTAGAAGAAACATTCCAAGTTAGTCTTTTATTTAGCAATAAATATAGGCAGGAACCAGTACTTTTTATTGGCAATGTGCATACGTAGATAAAAACAAATAAAGAAAATTCAAAGTGAAAAAATTTTTAAACTAAATGTATATAAGCGATCTTTTCTAATATTTACACACCGTTAGAATAAGAGACAGACACATAACATTTGACAGATTGCACAGAGAATAAGATAAACTATAACGTATTTTATTCATGTAGTATAGTATACTACCACACTTAAAAGCAATTTTAATGGAGTATTCTAAAGAATTTTAGAATTTTTCTTAGTATGACAATAAGCTACTGATTCTTTTTTTTACATAGGGCACAGACACAGACATCTGAATACATTAGAATAATTTGCTAAAGGCTTGATTTAGTGCTGAAATGAATGCAATCTTCAGACACGAATTATAAATGTGTTGACACAGCAGTATCAGCAGTTTGTGGCCGAGGTACAGCAACAAGCATCGATAGTTTGGTAGGTATATAAGACAGAATGGCAGAGAACTGGTGAAAACTAGAGATTTTCAGACAAGTGAGATAGGTTCTAATAGGAAAAACTTTATAGTACTTCTTTTTATCTTAAAATATGCATAATTGCCTGCTACTATATTTTCACTGATAATACAATTATATAACGTTATACTAGTCATATTACCTTTACGAACATCTGTATCATAAAAAATTTTTTTCGAATTTTATCAATGAAAATATAATTTGTGCATAATACCACCCCTCTAGCAGCAATATTTTTCTGTTGTTAAAAGATAAATCTTAAGCATGTGAAAGTTTATAAATTTATTTGAAATCCCTTCTCACTTGTCAGTAAATTTAAATAGTTCTAATTTTTGTTATATCTTCCATAAAACCTGTCACTTTCTTTTAATCTGACATCTCTATACTAAAAATACTTTTTCTACAAGACGCAACGATTATAAGATACTAAACAGTCTTGTCAAGATACAAACTCTATGCATTTCTAGAGGGGCTGAGAGCAGAGCAATGATGCCAAGACGATGATGCCATGTTTGTCTTTCAACTATTATAACAAAAGTGAATAATTTAACAGCATTTTAAAGAACTTCATTATTAGTTATAAAATATTTATTAATAACAATTTTTCTGGAATTTAAACATAAAATTAAAAAGAACAATATACTGCATGTATACAAAACATATATTGACATCTACTATTTATCATAACAATTTGATTAATTTTTTATAGTTAATAAAATAAATAATAATAACTTATATATTATGACTGTAGTCAAATACTGCTATTAGCAAACAAATATTGCAAATAAATTGTTGAATCTAACTTTAAAAATCATTTCATTGGAAAACTTTGATCACTGAAAGACAACCATGATATCTATTGTGATCAGAATTTCAGTACTTTTTTATCCAACATTATATGATAAATAATGCATGAAAGTACTGTACTGTATACATATTTATCATAGCAGTACAGGAATAAAAATCTTTTTCAAATTAATGGCATTTAATAGTTGATATATCAATGGGAGAGCGTAAGGGTTGTAATAATGATCAAATGTAAGAGGACTACAGATGGATTTTAGAATAGGATAGACTGAAAAGTAGAAAGGCAGAAATAGGAAATAAAAAGAGAAAAAAGATAAAAGGGAATAGAAAAAGAAGGGAAAAAGAAAGAAAGAAAAGAAAAGAAAAAAAGAAAAGAAAGAAAAGGAGTTTACTGTTACTCTGGTATTACTGTACTTGCATGCACAACCAACGTACACTGGGCAGTCTAGGGAGCAACCAGATACCCACTTTCGCCATCTGCGCTTGGATGCCCTTGGCAACCAGTGCTTTCACAGCACCCTCTGCCGCCACTGGTGACTCAAAGTCTACAAATCCGTAACCTGTAACACAACAATTGCAATATCAATTAGCAAAACCAGTTAGTAGTAACGTTGAATTCATAGTTAATAAAAAATAAATGATAAAAACAAAGATATAATAGAAAAGTTAATTACCTTTACACTTATTCGTATTTTTATCCAAAATGGCCTTTGTAGATGTAATAGTTCCATATCTGCAAAAACACAATGTATTAGAAACAACACACTCCCGCACTATAAATAAAATTCAATGTCTGTTAGTTCTACTAAAAGTTAGAGTTATATTGACAATCAATTCAAATAATAATATACTGCCAATCAGATATTAACAGAAAATACTAATTGCACGAATGACTTACTGAGAACACATGTTTACGAGGTCCTTGTCAGTTGTATTTTGATTGAGGCCACGAATATACAAATTTGTTTTTGATAGCTGTTCTGCCTGTTGTCCTTGTATAGCATTATTGCTAAGACTTGTGCTCATTGTCCCACTTCGACTGCCGGTAGCACTGCTGGAACTACTATTAGTGTTAGCTGGAGAGGAAGCTGTAGGTACCCGTTGTCCACCATACTGTAATACAGTTAAAATATACAATTAAAAACAATTAAAAATCATTATTAACATAATAAATATATAAACAAAATAGTACAACATGCATATTTTATTATTTTAGAAAAAATTTTATAAAAAATGTTTTTGGGACTAGATACATTAAAACCTTTTAATTATATTAACAGTTAGTATTTTTTAAACAATAGAACTTAATACAAAATATCAATTTAAAAATATTCAAGCAATAAATAAATACGCAATAACGAAATATGATTCAAATTAAATACTATTCTGTTAGAAAAAAAACATCTAATATTTGAACTTGATGAAAAAAAGTATCGAACGTGGTAATCAAAAATTATAAAAGTATACTAGCCCCACCCGGTACGAGAAAAGATTAAAAGTATCATGATATAACACGTGATAATTTTTTATTTTATCACGCCCTCTATCTACATACTGCCAGAGAATAAAGCTTTTCTTTTACTTTCAACTTGTCCTTTATAATTATGCCGGTAAAACATAATACCACTACTACAATAAAAGAGAAACGAAGATCTATGTATCATTCTATGCGAAGTACATACATTTTTTGAACAATCAATTGAAGAGACACATTGTGAGTTCAGAAAAGAATAAATGTTAATGAAAGATTGGAAAAACAAATGAGAGAAGAAATCGCACATCGTTTCCACGAGAACTGTGCTGAGTTGTCACGGCCCCACCCGGTTTGAGAAAGGGTTAACCCTTTCGCTGCGCAAAATGGTCTTTTCTCCTGCCTACGCATATATTCATTTTACAATATCACAGATACTTAAATTAAATAGTTTACACAAAAAAAGGGAAGATCTACAATTATCACACGACACTCCGCGCATACTTTATAGGTTACCTTGTTGCACTACCCAACCATTTTCTAACCATCAAACTGCACGTAAGCCGACTACGAACGTCACCCTCTCTTCATAAAACGATTAACCTTACTCACAAATAATTCAAAACTCCATCTGTTAAACTCAAGTTTAAAATTCACCATTGCATTCTAGATAAAAGCATCAATCATTCTTTAAGTTTATATGTATAAAGAGGCTAAACATTCCAGCTAATAAATCACACTTGTATCCGAATAAACAACAATCAATTTGACGTACAATGTTTAAAGTCTTAAAGTAACAACCTATTTGTCCATATGCCAATCGAGAGAATCAAAGAATCCGTCCATGTTCAAATCGAAAACGGTTCGTTATAGGAAAACGGCATGAGTTCCGAATGGTATAAAGCTCTAGCTGATGAGGAATGAAAGGAGAGGACTTACCGACGCGTGCTGTGCGTAGGTGGCGGTGGCGTAAGGATTCGCCGTAGGCGGTAGTTGCTGTGCTCCGACAGGCATCTG